CCCCCCCCAAAACTGTTGTCAAATGAACTACATAAAGGCTGTCCTGTCATTTAAAGATTGACCAAATCAAAATTTTTCCTCGCTTAAAGGAGATCTCAAAACTACAATCCCACTTTTCGATGAAATTACTTCACAAAACTCACCTGAGGAACGTATTTAATCAGCGTAACAAGGAGTTTGACGTAGGAGAATAGGTAGAGAGCTGAGAGCCAAGTGATGAAATTAAGAGCAGCCAACAGTGTGGAGAAAGCCATAAAAATTAGCATACAACTGGCTATTATTCTGCACAGCGTTGAGACGCCTTGCAAACCTCGCTTGAAAAGTGCAAAAAACAGCTTCAAATAAGTAAATGAAGTAAAATAAATAATAATAATACTAAACGCAGCAACAAAGAAGTCAACTCCCCCACTTATCTAAGAAAATTCTAACAGGATAACAAAGGATGATATAAAGCATAACGACCGTAAGACAAACCGTTAGTTAGCTCGCAATAATAATTTAAGATAAAAACTAAGTTGTGGTTAACATCCCCACAGATTTACTTCAAATGGCAGGCGTTTTGGTAGTTATCATTAGCCCTTAAGCTGACTTCGGGTCTCACAGGGGGAAGGAACATCAAAGTAACAGAAAGTCGAGGTTTCAAAGGGGGAAGGAACATCAAAGTAACAGAAAGTCGAGGGGTGGAGAACAAAAGAGTGATTTACAGATGTGAAGAGACAGACATGGTTTAAAAGAGCAGACATAAAGGCAGAGAAAAGGTAGGATGAGTACTGCGGAATAGGTAGAATATGGCATACTGTTGGGCCATTGTGGTTTTAAGCCAGAAGTCAATCGCCAGTTAATAGACTTTTTGCCGTATGAATATACGTTGCCCAATGTGCACCACGTGGAGGTAAGTCTATCACGCACCCCAACTAGCTAATAATAGAAGTCGGGTAGAGTTCTGATAGATTAATCTTTACTCCATCATAAATGTAGAGTTACTAAAGCGACTGCAGCTTGAAATTGACTCGAATTCATGAATATTCCCTAGATGAGGTTCACTACTCTCATCCCTGTAGCTTACAATGAAGTCTCCATATTAATGTACTTCTGCCTAACAAGGCAACCATCCAATCGCGTCGAGTATTTCCAGTTGTAAATAACTATGCTTTATCGTGTTATCTCGAAGAAGAGGGGATTTTAGTTGAGGAAGAAATGTTCTCATTCATTGTGAATAGTCCATCATAACCACAGTGAACAACCGAGACTTTATTAGTGGTTGCGTACTACCCTATAATTGGCGATGTGCTTATACCGCAATGGGAGTACAACTGCGTCTTTGCCTTTGCTTCTGAACTCTGTGGCTACCAACCTTATTGCATTGTTGGGTGATCGATGGAAGATTGTCAATTAGACTAATCTTGCAATTTGCCACTTTAAAAAACCCAGTATTGTCATGAAAAATTCAATTAATTCTAAAGGTGACTCTATGACGCCTTTCTGACATTTCTAATTATTCTCTAGATAACTCTGTGCACATGTGTGAGTGTTCTTCAATGCTATGTGATTATACTTCAGCTGGAGTATTTCAAATTCTCAAAAATTAATCGGTTCAATGGAGATGACTTCATATGCACACTCTATATTCAGTTTGCACAACTTTAAAAATGTCATTTAATTGCAATACTTTTATTTAAATCAGTCATAAAGCTGAAACATCGTTGCATGGTTGTCATCATCTTTTCTTCTTTATTTCGAAATATCCTGAACAGTGAGCTTAATGGCAGTTTGAAAGTTCCAACGGAAATGTGTGTGTAATTGTTGTAGCAATATTATTAGTATTATTGTTATTGCATAAAAAACTGCGATTTCTGACTTCATTTGAAATATATTTTGGTTTTTCTAGTAAGACCAAACGCGATTGGTGCACAAATAGTTCTGCCAAAAGTTGCATATTTTTCATTAAATCAATTTTGTGCTGATTCATAGTTTTATCGATTAATTTTATTGAATGTGTCTTATTTTCTGGTCATTTTGTCTATTTTTTTCTAATTTTTCAAGCACGTTTTTCAAAGGTCATATTTTTAATCAGTGTCCGTTAATTTCACCATGGAGCATGATTAAATTGCTTTACTATCATAAATAGCAAGGTTAACTTAAGCTTATCCTGAAGAGACGACTAATTATGTAGATAATATTAATATTATCAAGATACTGTAGGAGTCTTAGTTGTAGTATTGGACCTGAAAAATGGTTGGTTAAAATATGATGTATATAAGTAAGTTAGAATGTTAAAAGTCTTTCATTTTTTGGATTTAAGAAGTATTGAGCTGAACACTTTCTCATAGAAGAAGCATAATTTATAAATATTTAAAAACTCATTTTTCGGGATGTTGGTGTTTGCCGCGTTGATTGATTTTATCTCCTCACAAACGAGACAAGCATTTCCAAGTTAATTCACTACAATCCATATTTACATTTCCGTTTTAGAAGAAAAATTGTTGCGACGTTATGGATAGTATTTAGACAGAAACATTGTTTTCACGTTTTAAGAAATTCGCATAATGTGGCTTGAGTTTAAGTTGAAAATAGTCAATAATTTTGTTCTACACCTTAAAATTCACAGAAGATGTCTATTTAAGACCTGAATGTGCCCAGTTATTTATAAATCTTAGAAAACATTCAAATTGGTCACCAGTGTGTGCAGCTTACGAATTACGGTCTATTGAAGGGAGAAGTCTGTGGGGTTTTATGAGAATCCTCTCTTCACTTTAACTTCTCTCTCTCTCTCTCGAATTTCCTTTTGTTATTATGGTTATAACTATGGATTAGTTTTCTCATCAGTCTGTTAGGCAGCCTGAAAACTTTTGTTTAGTTGCATAAAAGTACACATCTAATAACTCCAAATAATAAAAAGTACTTACACAGTCCATTTCTTCGTTGCGCGCTGTTAGTATCCTACGTAAAGATTTTTTAGAAGGGCAGTGTTATTAAATTTCAGAACTCATTTTATATCCAAAATGCTGTTAGTATTATTTGGTAGTTCATGAAACTCAAGAGTTATAACCAAAATTACTTATAGGCTAAACTAGTTTTAAGTGAATAATAATACTTTTTTCACTTATTTTGTATTTCTTCTGTAGCCTCGAAATCTTCCACCTCCTCCAAGACCACCAGCACCCAAAGTTACTCTTCAAAAATCTTACACAATTACAGCATCTTATCCCAATCAATCTCACGATGATCTAATTAGCCCAGTGACTTCTCCGACTGCACTCCAGTCAACGCCTGTTGTGAGTTTACTTCTAATTTCTACTTATTAGTTACAAGTAGAATGATTATAATTGGATGTTTTTTATAACTTCAAGCAAATGAGATCCAGTTACGAGGTCTCAACGGCAAGTTTGGATAGACGAAAGCTCTATAGATCAAAAGCGGAGACTAGAGTTGCCAGACGAGCTACTCTTTCCAGAGTAAGTTAGACGTTCAGATTGATATTTCTTATTCTTTCTTAGCCAATAACAATGCACGAGACGACCTTCACCTTAAAACGAAAACCAAATGAAAATTGGAATAAGTCCATTGATGAAAGTACCCTTCGTTCCAAATCCCACGCACCCAAGATCGCCTATGAGCAAAGAGATTCCATTACTTTACCCAAATTCTTATTTGGAGGCAAGAAGAAGACTGTTCCGCCACCTGTAACTCGTCCTCAATTGGCTGCCACCACTTCCAATCAAAGTGGTGGAGCAAGCGCGCTAAAATCAATCGCAGACCTTGAAGACGGAAATTACATTTCACCAGTGGCTTACAATGTAGGTTTTCTTTTACGTTGTCTTAAAAACGCTAAATTTAATCATTTAACTCAATATTTCTACATTATTCCCTCACAGCAACAGGAAAAATGAACGATCTAGATTTAACATGGCATTCATTATTAACTTAAAGTGTCCATTGAACCACTTTGTAATTTTTAATGCCAAGTCATGTAAATCATGTTCGTTCATGTTACCAGCAAGTTATCTCATCATTATTTAGGGTGTTTCTGAAATAAGAATATTCTATAACTATTATGGCAATTTAAAGTGAGGTTCAGCAGATTTATTGTTCTAAGCCTGTTATTTGTAACTATCATATTGCATAAATAATTCAATAAATCAATAATTCGTTGTACCTTGTACTACTTTATTTGCCGATTACATTGTGCCTTACCATTAAATCTACATTTGCGAACTGTTGTTTCAGAATTAGTGTTAGTTTTGACTCGATTCAACTTTTCATCAATGAACTAATATTGAAGGAGGTTAGTATCGCTTTCAAGCATCGTAATATGTGGTACTTGAACGGCTCCAGGATTTATGCTTCTCTCAAGCTTACAAAATATTGTCACCGATGTCCTTGATTCCATGTGCATTTTCAATCATTGTCATTGGTATTGTAACTAATAAGTCTTTTCCGTGCTGAATTTCGTGCCGTTGGTACTCAGGCAAATCGAGCGAAAGTTTGTTTATACCACTATGCCCCAATAAGCACTGATCAAGGAAAAGCATATTGAGAGCATAGCAAAGGCCCATAGGGAGAATAGATTATCGTAAAATTTCAGTAATTTCAAAGTCAATCTGTACTTTCTTCATGCCAACTGATGTAAATTACAGTGGGTTATGAATCATTACTATTTAGGTGGAATTATGAATAGCGTATTTTAAACAACTTCTAGGTTCAACAGTCAGCTCCACCGGCATGTTCAATACAAACAACTTCAGTGGGTGTTCAAACGATTCCTCGAAGACCCAAAGCCCCTATCTCAAGTCTTCGCCACGGAACGGTGAGCAATCGAGTGTTTAATTGTCCATTAAGCTTCTACAGACGCCATTTCTATGAAAAATCTCTTACTATCTCGCTTTGATTTTTGTTATCTCAAATCGTTTAAGATGGAATTAAAAAGAAATGTACAAATTCCAGAATCTAGGTGGTAATATATATATGTATATGTATATGAAACCTCAGTTATTGGTGATTTTAGGAGCGTCCAACTTTGTTGACTATTGCGACAAATCCCAAGATTCTGCAAGGGGGTCATAAAAACACACCTTTTGAAGAGGCCTTCTTCGAGAATAAAATCAAACCTTTATTAATACAGGTTAGCCTGAAAGCATGTTAATAACTCATGCACGCAAGTTACACATGTAGCTGGGGCTTCCTGTTTCTTCTTCTCACCTTCAACTTTATGTTGCTTCCTGTGTTTCTTGCTGCCCCCACAAATAATCTTAATCACACTTAATAACGCCGATCAGATCAAAACTTGATTTTAGGAATTCGCTTAATATGAACCCCAGTTTGAAATGTGCTAGATTTACAATTTTATCCAGGGGAACTCACACGGAATTTCAGCTAGCTAATGTAATAATCCCAAAACAATTATATCACTGATCAATGTTTTGGCATTGACTGTTTAACGGTTGTTTAGTTTGACCTTGTTTATTTAGGGAAAGGAACCAAGAACATATCCACTTAAATAGATCAATTCGGAGGTATTTTATAAGGCGGAGCCTTCTTGCCTAAGTACTTATATTAAGTAAATAGTGGTCAATTTGATTTGATTAAGTAATTTATTGCTTTGGAAAGCCAGTTTCCAACTGTAGCTTTTCAATGATTAGAATTCGTGCTCCTTTGACCCATAAGCTGGCGTGTTTCTTGCAGAAATAGTTTAGAATAAACGGTAACCGCATGGATGAGGCTCCAGAAACAGGCGAATCCAACTTCGTCTGATTTCTAGAGTATTCAATTTTAAAGTTCATCACTCTGATCTATTCCTATCAACATCTTCATGTCGCGCACTCGAATTACATGCTATCATGTGGTTTCGTAGCTTTTTTCATTATATAATTTTAGTAGTATTAACAACCAGGTAAAGAAAATTATATGTTGATGTTTGCTGTCATCAGCCCTACCATTGCCCTATCACCTTATTTTTTTTATCCCACAAGCCGGTGGCATTGAATTTTCATCCAAATATTTATTTAAACCCACACCTCTTAATTTTGGCTTATCTTGATTCATGGGTGGCTCAATATCCAGATTTTATGCTTTCCGTGTGCTTACAATTGATCTATAATATTGGAATGATTCTATTGTGAGATGATAGGGTTCAGCGCCAACTTCACACCTACCTTGCCTCATGACGCTACTTGGCCGATGTTGTTTAGGGATCATTATAGCGGAATATTAGTTAGAAATGGTTCTTCTTCAAATCATGCTGCATAATTGCAAAATCGTGATCCAATCTCTAGGTAGTTCTCCAAATAGAATCCTATGTATCAATCAAGATGGGATTAGAAACCTAAGTATATTCTCCACATTCCACTATCTTGAAGGTTAACCAAGTTGCGCAATAGACACTTAGCATCTTCAATGTCCTAGGAAAGGGTGGAGATAAGTGGTACTGTTTATGTTTTGGGACGCTTAATAGGGGTTATATTCCTTTATGTGCAAAG